CGTCAAGGCATGTTTAAGCAAAAGGTCAGTAGTGACATCCGCCTCAATCTTTGCAGTATGCGACTTCAATGACACATGACCATTGCCATCAACTGACAACATCTTGTCATCACGATCTTTCTTGAACTTGACCTCGTCATCGCGGCAAGGGCAAGCCTGAGGAGGCAAGTAGTGCAGGACGTTGTCCTCGTACATCTGAACACACTTGTCAATCACAGCGTGCCCCGGCAAGGTAGGCCCATGAATGCTGAGCCCAACAAGCCTCAGCTGTTGGCGCTGAAGACGATCAGCCCGATCAGGGGCCGCCAACTTTCGCGGCGCCGAATCATCAGTTCGTTCCACCTGGACCTGCAACTCAGTGACGGTGAGGTTGTANNCTCATGAAGCAAACGTCGCAGCACACTGAGCTCGGCCAACAACGGCTCACGTCCAAGGACCTTTGACACAGCATCTGTGAAGGGCTTCTCGTCAGTGTTCCCAGGCACGAACGAGCTGAGGAAGGCAAACTTGCTCATGCAATCAATGCCCTCGCCCACAAACTTTGCCAGGACCGCATCCTCCAATCCCAGCGCCTTGGCGCGGGAAGCAAAATTTGCCTTACTCTCAGTGATGGCCATGGCGCAAACAAGAATCTCGAGCCTTAGCCAAACTGGCACGAACACAAGCGCATACACACACAGTCGGGCCACGGCCTCGCTTTCATGTGCTCTCGGCTAAAGCCACACAGCATCCGCTCCATTTGTCAAGGCAGCGGTGACCAATTCAAAAACCGCACTCCTCAGACCCTGTCGGAGGGTGATCAAAAAGGCCCGGCGCTAGCCTCAGGACCACAAGCCTGTATCATGAAAATCGCCGCCACACAGCTGGCGGGAATGCCGAGTAGATCCGGCAACATGTGGCAAAGGCCGAGTGGTTCCAGCCCTGCTGCAGCACAAACTTTGCTCAGTCGCAAACCTCAACGATTCAAGGACTGCCGAGTGGGTCCGGCAACAAACCACACAAGGCCGAGTTGTTCCAGCCCAGCTGCGTCAACGCAGCACCGTATCATCACCGAGTGGCTCCAGCATGACAAACAACCAGCGCAAACTGGCATTCGGGCGCACACCCTCACTTGAAGCAGTTCTGGCACATGTCAGCCATGAACTTTGGTCGCTCTGCGAGCCTTTCAAACTTCTTTGAGCACCGCTTTCCACACTTGAGCCGGTTCCCGCTCTCATCGGCCAACCGATGCAACTTCCTAGAAGTTATGTGTCTAATGTACACATAAGCATCAGGGTCCTCCACTAGCAGCTCAGACCAAGGAGGAACAAGCACATCCGCTGCAGACTCCTCTGCCCGCAAATCCGGAATGTTGTCCTCCTCGTCCATGGATGCCTCTGAGGGAGACACCTCAAGTTCAATATCATCGCCGGGCACTCTCTCGGGTTCCTTCGGAAAGTATCCTGATCGAGTGG